AACTTAGCATACTTTAAATACTTCGAAAGAGAAAAAATGATCATTTTCTTCTAAAAAAGCTTCCGCCACAAAATATAGTTCCTCACTTAATGCTTTTAGTATGGAATTTAATCATGGAGTTTTAACTGAATATAGTTAAATTGGCATTGTAGAATTAAAAATTAAAACATTATGCAGAATTTCTGAAATATAGGTTAAGATAAAAACTTTCCTCAAAAGCTCAGGAGCGAACTTCGTTAACTACTATAGTAAGCTGTATTCTACCCAGCTCTTTATAAACAATACAATGAGGAGTAGACTTATTTACTTACAACAAAATAGGGAAAAATTGGCATTCATAATCAGAAGAGAAAGTTTTACTTGAAAGAAGTTAAACAGATATTTAAAAAAAAATCATAGAAATTGATGGAATGTGCTATTTGCGAAGACTTTTTCGAAGCAAGGGGCACCAAGCAATCTGCCAGAGCCTGTGTCCATGGTATACTCTACAGATTGCTCGGTGCCGTGTCAGCCAGTATGAAGATTATAGTGCAACATTTGTAACATTTCTTCCCAGTTTTCAGCGACAAATTTGACCAATCTTCACATTTTCATCAGATACATGTATCAGAACTTACCCCTCTGATAAGGAAAACAGAATCAGAATTAATGAAGATTAAAGTTTAATTAAGATTTAGCATTATTCCCATAGACAGATCCAGCCAAAGCGGAAATAGTTAGGGGGTCCAAAACGTGTATGATTTTCATTCATTGAAAATATCAAATAACTAAAAGTAATCAAATAAGAATGACTTCGGAGCTAACCCCCCCCCCCCTCCAAAACATAAATTTTATAATTTGGTAGGAAGAATCACGAATATAGAAAAAAAGTAGCTTGTCCACCAAAGTCGATCTCCTTCACGAACATGAAGTTGGATTGTACTGTTTGTTTTCTTAAGTGTTACATTGTTACATGGACAACAACTTAGCGCCCCCCTCTCCTCCCCCGGAGAAATTCTTGCGAGATCAACACTTGATTCCCAAAGAAGTTTTGAATTAAAAAAAAAATTCGTCTAACTTTTGTGAAAAAAAGTGCAACTAAACATCTTATTGAAACAAAAAACGTCATTTAAGTTGCTTTCCATTAAAAAATTAGTTGCTCTGAAAAGACAATAAAATCTGCAGGTTCAGGGCGTTTGCACTTTCCCACTTTCCTCAGTAACTAGTCAAAAAGCCAAACTATATTCTTATTTTTTTTATCCAAATATACATGTATCACATTGAACATAAAAAGCTCATGAGCATATGATCCATGGACCTGTTAAGGAAGTATTTTCTATAGATATAATAAATGCATTGACATTCTGAAATAAAAAAAAAAATGAAGCATGAATTCTGTTTAAAAAAGGTTTTTAAAAATAAAAATGTTTTAATTTTGCTCTTATAATTGATCCTCACGTTGAAAATGAAATTCCGGCCTTGCACATAATATCACCAATCATATTTCAAAAGATGAACTGCCTATTGTTAAAATGAAGAGGAGTTTTAGGAAGAAAATAGTTTGGTAGACTTTCATTATAAAGTGCAGTTATGAACAGAATATGAAACATCAATAAGATATGTTGCTGAGTACACTAAATGCTATACGTATACACGAAAATAGTATAGCCTTCATGACAACAAAAATTACCTTCTGGATATTTTCTGCGCAGACATGAAATAGCTCTCGAAAACTGGGAAAGATACATATTTGATGTAATTGTCAAGGTATTAAGAAGATCCTGTGGTCAAATTCGATCGCTGACGTTTGATAAATACGTATTCGTATAAAATAACAATAATTATGAGGATTCAATTTTGGTATTATTAGCGAAGGTGTTGAGATCGCTAAAATTGAATATCGCTTACAATTAATTGCGTATGGGTTGTAATAGCTTCTTTTGTTGGTATTATGAAATCGCTAAAATTTCTTCTCGCTAAAAATATATACCAATTTTTAAGGATTAATCGCTTAATTTGCGTCTCTCTAAAAATTCCACTTATACGGTATTTTATTTAATCAATTTACATAATCCATTTAAATGAATGAATAGTACCATCAGCCGCGTAAAAAACGCATGCCACTGTTGTTTTACGAGGGATTAATGTTACAAAATTATGGTAAATTTTAAACATATCAAGAAGAGGTCTCATTTAGTTGAATCAGTTTAATAATGTGTAAGAAAAGACATATGAATGTCATTTTTTTGTCTACATGCGCTGAGAGATATTTTAAATGACTAATCAAACGTACAGCTAGTGATCCAAATAAGATTTTCGATTAGCAATTTCCATACAGAAATCGGCTTGTCATACAAATCAATTGATCAGAACGCCACGGACGAGAAACATCAAACTTAACCCATGAATGTACTAGGTACATGTGAGATGAGGTAAGTATGACGCTTAGCAACTTAAAACAATATTAAGAATAGTCCACGATGATAATGATATGCAAAGAGGGAATTGAGTTTATATATATACTAAACAAGAATCGAGAGCCTTTGCTTGAATATAAGAACGGAACAACAAATCGTTTAAAGGGAAAATCAAAATGGCTGTCAGTCTTGCAATCAATACAGATACATGTGCAAAACTACAATGTACACAACTTACGCAAATACTTTCAACGTTTTAGGTTACACTAAAGTGTGTCATGAGTGGATGTTTGAGGTCTTTCGAAAATTAATAGTCAATGTTTATACACATATAAGCTCATGCAACAAAAGTATCCCAACATCTGCATGTGACCTGAGTCAAAAGTTTTTTTCAGTAATTATAGCATCTGGCTGACTTTTTCAGTGAACAAAATATCATAGAGGTTTGTCTTAAGTACTTCACAAGGATTGCTACACCTGGCCAATGCTTGTGGTAAATACTGAACAGATGTGTTTGCTCAGCCACCTTCCTTTTAAGCTACATATCATTTCTTGAACCCACCAGTCCATGCTTTCTGGGGAAATCCTGGCTATGTCATTTATTAATTATTATTAATACACATTAATTTTTTTAAGCAAAATTCTGCAATATATATATAAATCTTTATTTTTTTTCTATTCAATCTTCGCAGGTCGTCAATAATGATGAAATATTTTCAGTCTCATGAACACTACTTTACTGATTGTCTTTAACATTTATAATGGAATTTTTTATCTTTATAATCATTGCGCCCATTTCACCTTACTGGGGGAGTACAAAACCTACAAAAAAATAGTGAAGTTTTCAACCCCAAAACAAAAACCTTTTTTTCAATTTATGCACTTATAGAACAAGCCACAAGGACAGGACCAAAATGGTCACACAGTGAAAATGTTCACAATCTTTAAAATTTTATTTACATTTCTGAAGGTAAACTTGGACCTTTAGGAAAATCGTAAAGCTCTCAACCAAAATATACATTAATTTATCTGAAGAATGTTTATTAAGATAAGAATTTTGGATACCGTATATTCGAAACCGTTGTGCTATTAACAATATTCAGTTTCATTCCTACGCTGAGTCGATATATCCCACTGAACTCGAAATAAAACAACAGAATGTGACACATCTATTTAATAGTTGAATATTTAACTTGGGAATGACATTGATAGCAAACTGAAAACAAAACTTTAAGATAAGTGTTATGATTGCACCTTTTCTATTGTCAATTCCCTTATTTCTTTTGCAATATACCATTTTCATTTGCATGAAGTTTGTCTCATGGTCGATTTGAAATGCAATGGCATGTTTTACGAACAAAGAATCTCTAAAACAAGGGAAGCTTTTGACAAAAAATTGATGACACAAGGATATCAATTATATCGTTTAAAGTCAAAATTTCGCAAATTCTATGATCGTTGCAATTACAGTACAGTATGTCGTTAAAATGAATCTTGACTGACGTCGTATATGCAAACTGTTAGGTCATTAATTTTATCACTGAATTGTCTACTGATTTTTTCGCTTACCTAGCTGGTCACGTCAAGGAGCAAACAGCGGGTGTGACCATCGACAGGGGATGCTTACTCCTCCGTGGCACCTGATCCCACCTTTGTTTTCAGAGGCCTGTGTTGGCTCTGCTTTTAATTTTGTTACAGGATCGATCTTGACTTTTTAATATCCTTTCCTTCCAGATTTAAATTCCTCCTCTGCTTTGTTTGTTTCAGGACGAATACATTAAGAACTTTGTCCTCAATATTTTATTTTTAAATTCATAAAACAAATTGACTTAAAAAAATTGATTTACAATAAACAATAAGTTGTCTTTTATTTAGGCAAACAAAAATAATGATTGGAAAATTTCCTGCCTAAAAAGAATCCTCTGAAAAGAATATAATAACATCATGGGAAAATTACTTACAAAATTAGAGGCATCACAATGTTCTCTGTGTAAAAGATGCATGGAATATCAGATGTACTGCAAAGTGTGTAAACTTTTTCTGTGTGTTTATTGTAAAGAGAAGCATGTGATTGATCTCGACACCAAATACCATGATGTTGTGAATTACCATTTAGAGAATAGAAATTTTATGCTAACAGAATTTTGCAGGGAACACCCAAGAAGAATTTATAAGTACTGGTGTCAGTCGTGTGAATATCCAATTTGTGACTTTTGTAATGAACATCAAAGACACACAATACTGGACATCACATCTGCCTACAATACTAAAAGACAGCAAGACTGGGACGGAATTGTTAATACCAGGAGCGAAGTGCTTCTTTACAATCATGAGATCTTAGCTGGAATCAAATCCGATTTCAAAACATGTCAAGCAGCGTTGACTGAACTCCGGCTAAAAATGACATCATCAGCTAAAAGGCAAAAGACTCTGATAGATATAGCATTAAAAAATACAAAAGAGGTATATTTTTATATTAACTCTAAAGTGCAACAGTCGAGACACGGCATTAAAATTATAGAGATGTATCTGCTCAGATTTGAAAACTCAGCAAACAGAGCAGTACAATCTTTATTATTTATAAAAAAGAAACCGATTCCAATAATGAAGAACATACCTAAAATTTTTACATTCTCCCTGAAAAATGAAATCAATACAGAAGATGCAAGTTTGTTTCAGGGGAAAATCGAACTCAGCGAGACTAGAAAAAGACGAGTGCAAAATGAACGACTCCTGAAACTAATGACTAAACCAGTGTTAAAGAAAATTGTCACTGTTCAAGACGCTTGTTGTGGTTCTCAAGTTTCTTTTGCGACCTCAGAACAACTCTGGGTAAGTGGTAGTAGCACGAATCTTTACCTGATCGACTCAGACGGTAAAAGTTTACACCACCGGACAGATAAACAAAATCTTTGCCCTGGTTCCCACACAGTGAGCCTTGCTGGAGAACTCATTTACATAGACTTAGATTATAATATCTGTAAACTATGTAAGGACAACAAAACAAAAATTACACTGATGAATAAATCTGAACCATGGAAACCACAGGAAATTTATTGTTCTCAATTCTCTGGAGACCTGCTTGTTTTGATGAAAAAATATAGCCCGTCATATCCAATTAATAATGTAGACGCAAAAGTTGTTATATTCAATGGATTAGAAGAAAAACAAACCTTCCAGTTTGATGACAAGGGACATAAACTTTATATTGACCCAGAGTGTATCACAGAGAACCGAAACGGAGATGTTATTGTTTTTGACCTGATTCACGATTGCATTCTTGGACCATCATGTCTAGTTGTGACAGATCGGAATGGAAGTCATCGCTTCACTTACTATGGATCAGAATATGACCCCCAACTGAAACTGGAACCATGTGGGATTTGTACAGATGCACTATCAAACATCCTTATAGCTAACCAAAGCTCAAGCACAGTGCATATGATTGACAAGGATGGCAAATTCCTTTCCTTGCTACTGACAAAGGAACACGGTATTAGTGGTCCATGGGGTATCAGTTACGAGGAAAGATCCCACCTTCTTTGGGTTGGATCTATTAAAGACAACAGGTTGTGTGTGTACAGATATATTGAAAGACAGAACCATCTTGTTTAAAGTATTAAATTAATGCATGACAAGTTACTGGTAGCTAGGAAATTTTCTCACTAATGATGGATGTATATATATATATATATATATATATATATATATATATATATATATATATATATATATATATATATATATATATATAATGAAATATTAGCAAAAATAACTATATTATTTTCAATGTAAGGTGAAGCCAAAACTGACACCTCTCTTTCTATGAAGTTGCTGGTGAAGGCAGAAAGTAAGTGTGACGAATCAACACTCGCAGTAATATTGTAATTTATATTTCCTTTAAATACACTTACACAAGGGTCGTGAAATTTAAATTTAAGTTATATTCTGAACTTTGAATCTGTATGTGAACTGAATTGAATATTAAGAGTTTGTCTTTTTTTGTAAACAAGCAACAGTGGCAATTTTCAGCAGCTGTTGGTTTAATTAATTTAAGTAAAATGTTTCCAGGTGGACTCGCAAAACAATAAGCAATAAGCAAAAATTGTGTATTCGGCCAGAGCATAACGTCCTGATCTCTCTCTTCTGTCTGAAGCCTTCTTCATAACCTCCTTAGACTTGATTATAATTACAACAAAAACATCCATAAAATCTCGCCGTATAGCAACAAAAGATGATGTCACTCGAACATTTAGACACTAATTACCGACATACGTTTCCCTATCCTTCTCCTGGAGGATAATTTTGAAAATCTAATTCCTTTTAAAATAATTGCAAAATGAAATATTTCAAAATAAATGGCTAAATTGTATGTTTAGATAATTAGAAGAACGCACAATTGATGTGAATAGAATGTTACTTCATTGGAAGTTGGCACTTGCTTATTTGTCTGAATCGTTATTTCTAGTTAAAGCAAAATTAGGATTTCTGCCTTATACGAGGGGTGATCAAATGTTCGCGAACTATCTCTATATGTACAAAACAACAATTCAGATCAGAATGAAATTTTGCACACATATAGTCATACACATGTTCTATAAATAGCAGATGTAATTTGATGTTTTGCACCATGTTTTCGACGTGAAAATATCGTCAATATGTAGGTGACTTGTGACAAAAAATGATTTACTCAGTCGTACTCGAGCAACGAACGGCTGTAAAGTTTAACGTGTATCTTGGAAATTCCTTTGCAGTATCATTTAATAATTTGTACAAGGTTTATGAAGGGAAAAGACTTGCCAGAAGTTCAATTATTAATTGGATTGATTGTTTTAGTGAAGGAAGGGAGATGGTAAAAAATGATGTTTGTTCTGTTGCTCAGTGAAAGCAAGCTAGGGAAGAGATGTGTCCATAGTTGAGCAATTTGTCCTGAAAGATCGCCCAGTTACAGTTTGAAAAATAGTTGAATATCTTAACAATAATATAATTATTAAATCTCTAAAATATCGTTTACTTTAAACTTTAAACATATTGGATATGATAAAAAGAAGGCGCCCATACTTTATCCACATTGGATAAAAGACGCTCCAAAGACAGAGAACTCGGGTTATGATGGTCACCATGCTAAATTTGGGAAAGGATATCCTTATGCATCCGTGCAATTGCCGAGATTTCGCCATTTTCGACAAATGGGACTGTTCTTGTTATAAAAAATAACTTGGATGGTGAGAAATATAAGACTCGGAAAAATCTTTAAGCTTCTGTGAACAGAACGCTACGGAGCATATCACGTGATTCGAATTCGCACATGTGCAGAACAGTGGCAGATGCGCAGATGCGCATTTAAATCGAAGAAGACTACGTGAAAAAATAATGAACGCTGAAACCTAATTTCATTTCTTTAACGGAAGTAATCCAATTAGTTCGCGAACTTTTTGATCACCTCTCGTACTTACCTATGGAAATTTCTATTTCTGTTTTGACGGGGAAGGAAGATATCTATGATCACTTAAGATTTTAAATTTTTTTTCTTGTAATCCATATTGAAATACAATTGGATTTTTGTGTTCTTTCTGTCAAGCTTATCATATTTTTTATTTCAATTATTGTATTTTTTTGGTATAAACTTCTTAATAAACCTACATGCATAGTCAAAACGTTATGGTGGTAGACATTTCAGATAGGGAATTTAAGGAAACAGACTATATTGGAGTTTTGTTTACTGTCAAACCAGCTCTAACCTACAATTCTTGAACACTCCGGTATTTTATCCTCCGAATAAATTTATCGAAACTTAGTCAATCGAATCATAGGTAAATTTTTAAACTGAACACAACAGGTCCCGATTGAGGACACGTTAAACCCGTAACGCGATGTTAAAGTGTCATTGTATTGAATGTTTGTATAATTCAGGAAAACATAATTGTTTTTTTACTTCAATATGTGGTGCCAAAGGTGATAAAGAAAGACGTGTATACCAAATTTGATTCATCGAATAAACATCAAATCTTTTATTTCCTTATTGTGCAGATTTAATGATACTTTGAAGCAAACAACATTTGATGTAATAGTTCACTCGAAATAGTGGAATCAGCAAATTACTCATTCCATGCTGCTAATAATAGATTTTATAAGCCTGGCACTTGCAAAATATTTTGACATGTACATTTACCATACAGTTAATTAGAAAAATTGAAATATGGAGATAACTATCTGTAAACAAGCTCAAAATATACATTAAAACTAAAAAAATCGGAGCAGAGCATACACGGACCTCTGAAGGTCAATCGGTCACACACGCCGTGTGCTCCTTGACAAGATCGAGAAAACGGAAAAATCCACAGTCATAATGCTACTCTTAATTTTCTTTTATGACCCATCGAGAATTAGCTATTGCATCCTTCATGCGGATCTGTGTGGCAGCTTGAATTTTGTGGAATGGATCCACTGAGAAAGATTGTTGATATGCATTCAAAGCAGCCTTGTAATTTCCTGAGATGTGGTGACAGATTCCAAGAATCTGAAATGAGATGTCTGTAATATTTTCGCTCATATAGTCTTCTTGCCTGTCGTTGACTATGAACTGAAGATTGCTCAAAGTTGCTTGTGAACTAATCATGTCAACATGTTTGTAGCATAAAAACTTTAACATGTATAATAATTATTATAGTACCAAAGGTGGTATGCGTAAAGTCGACACTTTGTTTTGATAACTGTAATATTGTTTAAGCATTAATTCACTTATGTATGTGGTTCTATTATAAAGTCTGACACACAAGGCTACAGATTTTCTTATTTTTATAGTCCAGGAATGGCCTCGTGATACTTCAATGTAAATTTCTGAAACTTTGGAAATTTTATGAATCACGTATGGCTGTGCGAGTTTTGTTTTGTCAACTTTAAAATAGATAAAGCCTTGAAATATCTGCTTGTTTTGTAATAATACATAACAAGATACAGCATGTCAGAAATATTTCCAAATCTTGCAACAAATTTCAGCATGTTGGTGGATATTTTGTCAACAATGTAAACCATTCTGTTGGTCAGTTTTAGTACATTAGAGCTTAAAAATCGTGATACAAAGTTAATAATAATAATAATAATAATAATAATAATAATAATAATAATAATGCTTTATTAAGAGAAGGTAACCCGATTAGTACAAAGTACTATTCTTCCCCGGGGCCTTCTACAATTCAAACAATATGCATTAAACGGTACAATCAAGCATATACACTGTACATAAAAAAGATAAGCTCATTATTTGTACAAATTAATGAACTTATAGGACAATAAATAAATCAATATACATAACTTAGAAGACGTTGTTTACAATAACAACAACAATGACATTTAGAATAATAAAAAATTACAGACGTTGGCTAATTATAATCTTTTCCAAATTCTTTCTAAAGACAGGTAAAGATGGTGATAATTTAACATGTAGTGGTAGGCTATTCCATAAATGTACGCCTGAATATTGAAGAGAGTTAGTAAATAGAATTGTTCGATGCTTTGGTAATCGAAGATTATAATTTAATTCCGAGCGCAATGAATAGGAATCGGAGCTATGAAAAATAAAAAGATATCCCGGAGATATTCAGGGCTCATACCATAAAAAGTTTTATACAATAAAATACACTTATGAAATGTACCTAACTCAAATACTTTTAACCATCCTAATTTTTCAAACAAAGGCTTAGATGGTTGGTCAGGTGCTGCATCAAGAATAATTCTAGCAGCCCGTTTCTGAAGGTTATGAATTCTTTCAATATTAGACTTGGACGCATTACCCCAGACCGTAAGACAATAGTTTATTGAAGGCAAAATGTATGCATTATAGAAGAGTTTTCTGGTACTTAATGGAAGAAATTTCTTAATTTTACGGAGCGTAAATAACTTGTATCTTAAGGATTTACAAACTGAATCAACATGACAATTATACTGAAGAGTGTGATCTATCTGGATACCTAAGAGTTTTTCAACTTCAACGTTTTCCAGTTTTTTGCCATAAATTTTTGCATCAAGTACTGGGTTATTTAACCTTGATCCTTGTTGTGTACACATAATCATACATTTTGATTTGTCTGTATTCAGTATCATTTGATTCTGTAAACACCATTTTTCAATTTCACATAAATCAGAATTTAATTATGTTTCAATATTATGTACATTGCTGCTAGGTAAATGCAGAGTTGCATCGTCTGCAAACATATCAATATTAGAATAATTAACACATAAAGGTAGATCATTTATATACAATATAAATAGGAGCCGACCTAAAATAGATCCCTGTGGCACCCCTGCTGTGATAGGTAAAACATTGGAAGAACATGCGCCAATTTTTACACTTTGGGTTCTTTCGTTTAAATAAGACTGAAACCACTTAACTGTAAGTGAATCAAAGTTATAATGTCTTAATTTCTGCATTAGGATATCATGACTGACTAAATCAAATGCCTTACTGAAATCTAGAAAAGCTATGCCAATGAGATTCCCTTGGTCCATTGCATGCAACCAGTTATCAGTAAGTTTGGTTAGAGCTGTTTGGCAAGAATGGAACTCCCTAAAACCAGACTGTGAGCTCATAATGAGGTCAAAAGCTCTGGTGAATC